GGTAAGTATTGTCATTAGCTCTGGTCAGTAACATAAATGAAGACTGTAATTGCCTGGGGAATCCATTATTAAAGAATTTTGCTAATAAATCATATGGAGTGTAATGTTTTTCTAGGTCATCTAGCATAGGGATAACACTCTATCATTGTGGTGCTAAGTGGCTTAGATTGGCTAAGCTTCAGAATTTCAGCTCATTGAAAAGTTCTCACACTTCCCTTTATACTACAGCGTAAATAAATATCACCAGGGTCTAGAAAACATAAAATACTTCACATCTTTATCTTTCTTTTTAATTTATAAACAAAACTGGATTATAATGAAAGTAATTTCTGAGATCATATTTAAAATACACTATTCTCTGCTTAATTTAAACATAGCAAATATTAACAAGTATCTCAGATCTGTAAATATTTTTAAACAAAGTAACGTGATGCTAGGGAAACCAGCAAAGAACCAATTTTTAATTTAGTTGTGTTTATACACATACCCATACCAGTCATGCTACTGACTTTTGGTGTAAGTAGTATTATATTAATTGTTGAGTAGGAGCTTCTTGGAGGTCCAAACACTCTCTGCCTGGCATAAAGCCACACTTCACCTCCCATTTTCTCTCGGTCACCTTTCATATCATTTGATCAGAATTCTGTCCAATACCTTACGAGAGACACTTAATTACATCCCTGTAATTTCTGTATTCATTCTTGCTATTTTTCTCTTTGAAAAGGACAACCATAACACCTTTCTTTCAATTATCAGACACAAATACAATCTTCAATCATTGGGTCACAGAAGTCACAAAGCAAACAATATCCCTATTTTAATATTTCTCCAAATAAACCATCTGCACCATAAACAAGATTTATGACATTCTTTACATCTTTGGTTTCTTGGATACTAACATTTATGGCATTTGTTTCAGTTGCACATTTGAACATATCACAGAGCAGAATAACAAAATAGAAAGGGACGTTGGAGATCTTTTAGTCCAGTGGTTCTCAACCTTTTTAATGCCACGACCCCCAACAGGTCGTAAGTCGAGGACTACTCAACCGGTCGTAAGTTGAGGACTACTCAACTGGTACAGCACCGTTTGCAGAATGGGTCTTTTGGCAGGCTCAGCAGGGCAGGGACAGCCTGGACAATTCCTATTGGCTTTTGATAGCCAATAGAATTAGACTCTATTCAAGAGAGTCTATTCTATTGGCTTTCAAAAGCCAATAGAATAAAAGGGAGTAGCACAGCTAAGGAAAAGGGGGAAAAATGGTGGACTGCGTTGTTTGGCGACCCCTGTGAAATGGTCGTTCGACCCCAAATGGGGTCCCGACCCACAGGTTGAGAACCACTGTTTTAGTCCAATCCTTACCATTTCAGACAAATGGTTATATAGTCTCTTCTTAAAAACCTCCAGTATTGGAGTACATACAACTTCTAGAGGCAAGTCATTCCATTGGTTAATTGTTCTCGCTGTCAGGAAATTTCTCCTTAGTTCTAGGTTGTTTCTCTCCTTGATTAGTTTCCATCCACTGCTTCTTGTCCTGCCTTCAGGTGCTTTGGAGAATAGGTTTACCCCCCCCCCCTCTTTTTTGTGGCAGTCACCCAAATACTGGAACAGTGCTATCATGTCAGCCCCTAGTCCTTCTTTTCATTAGACTAGACATACTCAGTTCCTGCAACCATATTTCATATGTTTTAAATGATTAAACCATATGTTAAATAATTGAACTAAAATTTTCTGTTCTTAAATGTTAGTCTTTTGGTCCCTCCTGTGGCTAATGTTGGAGTAGAACTTAAATGCGCGTGAGGTTGCCCTCTAGATATAGTTTGTAAACCACAGCTGTATTAAAAATGCAGATGAATAAAAAGATGAAGAGAAAAAGAAAGTGAAAAAAATTGGTATCTCAACTGAAGATAAAAAATGAAATATCAGTTTGTAGTTAGGGTAAAAGGTGATAGAAAAGTAATAGTTTGTAATAACACTCAAGAGGTTTTTTCCTTTAAAAATACTGTAGTCTTTATAGTTTGTAATCCACAGACGTAGAGTGCTATTTGCAGACCAATAGTATCTGAGGTGTCTTATTGCAGTTTAGAGCACAGTTTTACAACCCTGGTAAATCAGTTTACAATACTTGAAGTCCACAAGTCTTAAAGTTGCCAAGGTTGAGAACCCCTGCTCTAAACAAGCCTTGCCTTGTAATAATAGCCAGAGAATCTATAGTATAAACAGCCTTGTAGTGTAAACAAAGTCTTGATCAGTATTTTCAGGATCATTCAATACATAAAATCAATCAATCAATCAATAAAATTCAAGAAGTGGCTCACTTGCTTATAGTAACTTGAGGTCCTTTACCTAGGAATATGTTTGCCTGACATCACCTTCTTATGCATTTGTCTCTCCTGCTTTTCTAAGATGTGTAAGTAGGAGTGCAATAGTTTGGGGGGGGGGGCTTCTCTCAATATTCTTTGGAGAGAGTCCCACTCGCAAGTGCTGTCTAATAAACATTGCAGTAAGCCTTGATTATTTGCCTTCAGTCCTGCATTTGACTCTACACTTGTAAACAAGAGAATGAATAGAAGGCAAGACAAGAAACAATGGATGGAAACTAATCAAGGAGAAGCAACCTGGAATTATGGAGAAGCTTCCTAACAGTGAGGACAATTAACTAGTGGAACGGCTTGCCTTCAGATGTTGTGGGTGTTTCATCACTTGAGGTTTTTAAGATGAGACTGGAGAGCCACTTGTCTGAAATGGTATACTGTAGGGTCTCTCCTGCTTGAGCATGGGGTTGGACTAGAAGACCTCAAAGGTCCCTTCCTGCTCTATTCTGATTGGTTGAATGTGTCTAATAGATTACCACCTCAGTCACTCCATTGCTATATGCAACATTCCCTGGTAATAGTAAGAAAAGTAGCAGTCAGCTTTGGCAGATTTGGGATGGTGTGTCACAAGTGTAATCAAATCCCAGTTTTACCTCAAGCATGCTTGTTATTGTAATGTAAAATAGGATATCTAATTTACAGACCTGGAAGTGCACAACCCACAAACTAGGAGTAAAGTGCCCTGCATAGATCACACAGGCAGGATGTGGGCATTTAACCATTTATCCATAACCATTATGTCTCCTTGAATGCTTGTTCAATCTGATGCTATTGTCATTCAACTTTATTATCATTTGGGGTTTTAAAACAGGCATTTTTAAAATCCGTTACTAACATTTAGTTATCTCTCTATAAACAGGTACCCAAACCATTTTGGATTTCCCCCCCTTTTTTTTGAAGTCTGAGGCTTTGCAGAGAAATGGTCAGAACTTCATACTGTATCTCTTAATCGTATTGGGAGGGATGATGCTATAATTAAAACTGTTTCCTCTTTTTGGGTGATGTGTCTATCTTCTAAGTGATGGCAGAAACCATAGTAGAAGTCTATTAGAATGAAACCTTATTGTGCTATATACTTTTTAATATACTGTTAATGCATCTGAAAAACAGATGGGAGCAATTTCTGGCCATATAGTGCTGTCATATAACTTTGGTCAGTTGAGGTAATGACTAGTTCTCCCTTTTCCTTCACAATGGCCTTCTCCAGTTCAAGAAGGATGGAGAAAACTGCATCTAAGCAATGAATAATTATCTTCTAATCTTCAGAACTGTTACTTGTTTTACTGCAAGACACATCCAAACATTATTTTTGGCACTAAGCATGTTATGTCTTGCTCATACAATGACAGTCACAAATTAACTATGGTTTGTTGAATGAACAATAATTTTGGGGACCATACATTACACTAATCCAGTGGTGGCGAACCTATGGCACGGGTGCCAGAGGTGGCACTCAGAGCCCTCTCTGTGGGCACGTGCGCCATCGCCCCAGTCCTAGGCCTTCAGCTGGGTTTTATAAAATCTTTTCGCTTTAGGCCTCCGCTGCCGTGTGCAAAAAAAAAAAAAAAGGTTCAATCAGTCAATTTCAACTTCTTGCGGGGGAAAAAAAAGATCTTGCAAAGTTGGAATTGACTGAACTTTTTAGCCCCACCCAGTCTGCCGTTTCCACCGCAGCCACGCCCACCCAATGGGCCACACCCACCCGGCACTCAACAATGCATAAGTGGATTTTGGGTTGCAGTTTGGGCACTCAGTCTCTAAATGGTTCGCCATCACTGCACTAATCCATAAATTATGGTATACAAACAAGGCAGAATTCATGAAACATGCTCAAGCAAGACAAACCAACTCACATTATGGCATATGAGTCAAATATATGACCTCAATTTACACAGGACACCTTGGTAGAGTTGTATCTGGGGGTGCTTTGAGTAAATGCGGTTTATAGGCAACCAATACCGTAGAAGAGAATATATGTAGCTCAGGACTGAACTATTATGTTCAATAGTTATATACCCTGTTTATAACTAGGGTAATAAAATCTAAGAACCTAAAAATGATGTACTGATGTTGTTATCTAATCAGGTTATGAAATGTCTGCAAGCGGACAACCAAGCTCAGAGAGCACCAAGGACCCCACAAATAGGCACCATTAGCCAGGCCTAAGATCTAAAAATAAAAGTGCTGGAATGGGAGGCTAAAATGCATGAGAGACCTTGCCTGGCTCCTCATGTGATCCTCATGATCAGGAGACCCCGGTTATCAGGAAAGCTGTTGGCCTCACTGGCTCCTCTCTCATGGATTACAGGACTCTAAACTACGGACAAATTGACCTCTGGGTTTATGAGAAAGCATATTTTGAAAATCAGAGAAGGCTATACCTATCGGCTGATTAGACTTCTGAGCACTAGAAAAGTTTTCCAACTCCATGCAGCTTTCATTTCACAGAACTCGTCCCCTCCCCCCTCCTCTTGAACATCTTGGCTTTCATGGCCAATTCCTTAGAAAACTTGTGAGGGAAATTCCTCCTCCTCCTCCTCCTCCTCCCTCCCTGGCGCCTTCTCCGCCTCCAAGGCGTTCGCCGGCCACGGGGAGGGCTGACCGGCCCAGGCGGGGAGTGCCGTTTGCCGAGCTGACCGCCCAGCGGGGGCCTTTTCTTCGGAACAATTTGCAAGCCCGTCACATCCGCTGGGAAGTTACTTGGCCCGCGTCCGGCAGACAAGAAGGCGGCGCGCCCCGCAGTGGTAACCCAAGTCCCGAGACGCTTTGAGCTCCGGCAAGAAACTTCCTTTCTCGGGGCGGTCAAGGGACGGACATGCGGGAAGGAGCACCATGAAGCCGGTCCTTGCCTCCCACCGCCGCGGCCGCTTTGAGGAGCAGCGCAGGGGCAGGCAGCGGCTCCCTCCTCTCTAACCGCCTCAGGTTGCGGCGGCCGGGATGTCGCGGGCGGCTGCCTGGGTCACGCTGCTGCTGCTGCTGCTGCTGCTAGCAGTGGCGGAGCGCGGCCGGGCTCGCTTCACCTTCCGCCTCCAAGTGTCTTCCCCGGGGACTCCCGAGGGCAGCCTGGTTCCCACGCCCGTGTTGCTAAAGTCGCGGAGCAGCGGCGGAACCGGCAGCCCGCCGGCGCTCCCAGAAGCCTCGGGCTTGGCCTTAGCGTCGGATCCCGGCGGCTCCCTCAACTTTCTGGCCATGGTGGACAATCTACAGGGAGACTCGGGACGCGGCTACTATCTGGAGCTGCTCCTCGGCACCCCGCCGCAGAAGGTAGGGGCGGCCCCGGAGCGGGGCTGGTGGAACCCCCGAGGGAGGTTTCCTTATAAAGTTTGTGAGTTCTCACTCGGGACAGCAAAAGTCTCTTTTCCGCCACCGCATCCTGGAGCGGAGCTCTCCCTTTCCCTTTCCTGGGCGATTCAAGGACCCGGGCGCGGGCGGGGGAGGGTATACAGGGCTTAAGGCAGCCTTCGTCAACCAGGTGCTCTCCAGGCGTGCTGTGGCTTTCAGCCGCTTTAGTTCCAGCGCGTCCGGAGTCCCGGTGGGGAAGACTGGTTTAATGCGTCCGAAGGTGGTGGTGAGAAATAGATGGGGCTTTCTGCAGTACTTAAAAGTACCTAAGATCCGACTGATCTTGCTACTTTGTGGCTAACTCCGATGCTTCCGGGAAGCCCACGGATTTCCAAAGCTGTAGTTCTTTCTGCTGTTCTTTTTTTTATTTATCTGGAGGGTTCGGTAAATGGTCAATATCTTCATGTTTTAAAATTCCAGTATGTCCGCTTGAATGCCTTTGTTCAATCTGATGCTATTGTCATTCAACTTTATAATCATTTGGGGTTTTAAAACAGGCATTTTTAAAATCAGTTACAAATATTTAGTTATCTCTCCATAAATAGGTACCCAAACCATCCCCCCCCTTTTTTTTTGAAGTCTGAGGCTTTGCAGAGAAATGATCAGAACTTTATCTCTTAATTGTATTGGGTGGGGTGAGGCTGTAATTAAAATTGTTTCCTCTTTTTGGGTGATATGTCTCTCCTCTAAGTGATGGCAGAAATCATAGTAGAAGTCTATTGCACTATATACTTTTTAATATATTGTTAATGCATCTGAAAAACAGAGGGGAGCAATTTTTGGCTGGGGGAGTTTTTAGTGCCCGGAAAAGTAAAATATTACTTTCCTTGCCACAATAAAACTGCTTTCCCCCACCCTTACAGTGTTGAATGTGCATGGCTCGTGATGTTTTCTGAATCTGGAACAACTCTATAATATTTCAGAATAACCTGAATCCTGAAATTCATTGTGTTTATGTTTGCATGAGTGACTTTTTGAATCACAAGCCCTGACCTTGCTATAGCATTTGCTACTTCTGAAATAAGGAACAAAGGATCTTTCTATAACTATGTAGCAAAATCCTGGTGTAGATGCTGATTCCATGCGGCTTGCTGATTGTGTAACTGTAGGCATTCTATTGCCATTGTAAGTTTTACAGCTGACGCATAAGCACAGAAGTGCCTCAAATGTGAGGTAAGCTTTTCCTGTTGATAGGACAGTTCATGTTTGTCCCCGACACTCCTTTTTCCTCACCCTGTGCCAGGCTGGTTTCTGGCCAGGTTACACATCCTGCTAAGCCCAAGAAAAAAACAGACAAAAAGAGATCAAACCATATTATGGCTTAGACGCTGCATGACCTACGTTTCTGTGTATGTGGGTAGAGAGTATGTGGTCTGTATTTCACATCAACCCACTTACAGGAATTTGAATTCTAACTCATAAGCACAGAACCCTCACAATCTAACCTTTGTGCTTACTGACATCTGTCTGCAAGCCAATGGGCTAAAATCTTTCAACTTTATTGTGTTTGTGAGAATATTGAGAAAATAATTTCATAATTGTTAAGGCAAGGTTTGTTTTAATTATGATTTGATGAATGAACTACAATGATGTGGTTTTCACGTTCTCCCGAGTCATGCATATACATTTTTTTCTAATTTTTGGAGCACCATGAATCCTATTTTTCTGTCACATCTGAAGTCTGAAGTCCACCCACAGATTAATTTGGTCTTCATTCTGATTGTGTTCAAAATTGCTAATAAAATTTTGTTCTTCTCTCTTGTATGGTGTTTATATTTTTTGGAAAGGTTTTTTTGGGGGGGATCAGTTGTCTTGTATTTGTCTTTTAAATTGTTTTACTATTGTGCACTTGCCCACTATCTCAATGGAATTAGGTGACCTTATAATTTTATACAGTGTTCTAAACATGAGGGGGCCAAGACCAAACTAAATTTGATTTTTTATTTACATTTTAATTCAAATGTATTGTACCTCATATGATTACTCTCTGAATTAGATATTTAATCATTTTGCCCTTCTGCTTAATTAAAAAATTACAATTTGATAACAGTTCTTAGAAGTCTTCACACAATTCTCATGTATTAGGATCTGCACTACAAATTTAAATCATGAACCACAGTTCACCAACTATAGTGGCTTAGTCCATACAACGTGTCAAGCCAAAACCAAACAAATCATGAAAGATATAAATTCAGCCTTTATGTGAAAGATTTGCAAAGATATCAAATTTGTGCATTTCCTGGAAGGCTGTTGAAAAGTGACAGTTTTTGCTTTTAGTGATGGATTGTTACTTAGTTATTACAAACTTTGGTAAATTTTCAGAAAGAAATGTCAAGTGAGGGAGTGCTTGTATTCATGTTAATCCTACCCTAGGTCTGAATAATGTGATAAATTCTGTTTAATCCAGTAGAAGCTTTTGAATTCTTTGCAATTGTGAGTCCACGGCACTGATTCATTGCAACAAGGTCTTGTACTGGAGGCTAGATGTCCTTGAAAGCAGCAGTAATGGGATGTTTACAGAGTAGCCAACCCTACCTTGTTTATAGCCTTTCAGCCCATATAAGTTCAGATGAATGCCTGAATTACATTATGAAGAACCCTTTTCTGGGTGCCAGCAATGCCATTTCCCAGAGAATTCCACCCCTTCTCCTCTCCAACAGTTCTGGGATCATAGTAACAATTATTATCATGCTGGTAATATCAAAAAACAATGAGAGTTATAGTTGATAGTGTTGGTTTGAAACTAGAAAAGGCTGATCTACGTGATAAACAAGGAAGGATATGGGTGAGGAATTATCCCAATTCAGATATTTATTATTTGCTACTAGTTTGCAAAATGTCTGGGATCAGAGTTTCTTTGCAGAGTAGAGATGATTCATAACTATCCAGGATGATAAAATAAAATAGAAATTGCTGCAAATCAACTGAGTGACTCAGTGAAAATTATAACTTTTATCTTTCCTTCGCAATTCTTTAGAAGCACTGAATTAAAAGAACTTTTCTAGAAAAAAAATAACTTATTGAACATTACTACTGCTATTTTTGCAGGGTTGTGGGGTGTAGTTCTGTACACATTTACCTAGGAAATAAGCCTTACTTGATTGTGGACCCTACTTTTAAACAGACGTTCATAGAATAGCATTGCTAAAAAAAAAAAAAAGTCTTAAATGTTGGATACAACATATTAAAATATCCCTATAGTCACTCAAAGTTTAAGAATGTATTAGCAACATAGTTCTGTTTGCGTTTGTTCAAAAGTAAGGGTTTTTAACAACCCCAGTAACGGTTACTCCCTAGGTAAATATGCTCCCTAGGTAAATATGCTCCCTAGCTGCTGTTATGGTTCCGGCTAATGAAACACTTCAAAGAACTTCCAGGCATTGATTTTCCTAAAAGTCATTTATTGTTACAAAATGTCAGCACAGGCATAACGAAGGTATGCCAAGATCAAAATTCTCTTCCCGTGAGCAATTAAATTATCAGCATGTTCCCTCCCTAAATTAGCTGTCAGAAATATGCAGACTGCATTTAAGAAGATTACATCTTTAATACAGTATAAATATTTTTTTCTTAGAAGTTTTATCAGAAACTGGATATTGATAAACTGGGGAAAAAACCCTCAGTAATTTATATATGTATGTATGTATGCATACTTGAATACTTTGAAGTTTAGAAACTTAATTATTTTTCTCTGTGTCATGAGATTGCATGTGAAGAAATAATGTCTCATTGGGCAGGATGACTAGTCAGATGATGAAGATAGACTTATTAATCCTCTGAATGTTCACAGTCCTAAAGTGAATAATAATCAGTTGTGTTGGTTCGAAAGAAGAATTTTGAAGAGCTGAGTCTTATTTCCTGAAAGCCTTCGGGGCTTAAACTTTCATATTTTTTTTCAAATATAATGTTTCTTTGTAATATTTCAACGGATCATTATAGGACATTGTGGATATAAAGAGGGTGGAAGTGAAAAATGGCGAATCTTTTTCCTCTATTTCAGTTTTGCTCTGTTCCATTAGCTTTTAATATCCTTTTGACTAAAGTGGTGGTTGTGTTCCTTCTCGCATGATTTGGTACATTTGTCTTACCATAGAGCAGTGGTTCTCAACCTGTGGGTCGGGACCCCATTTGGGGTCGAATGACCATTTCACAGGGGTCGCCAAACAATGCAGTCCGCCATTTTTTCCCCCTTTTCCTTAGCTGTGCTACTCCCTTTTATCTATTGGCTTTCAAAAGCCAATAGGAATTGTCCAGGCTGTCTCTGCCCTGCTGAGCCCGCCAAAAGTCCCATTCTGCAAACGGTGCTGCACCAGTTGAGTAGTCCTCGACTTACAACCGGTTGAGTAGTCCTCGACATACAACCGGTTGGGGGTTGCGGCATTAAAAAGGTTGAGAACCACTGCCATAGAGGGTTTTTCTGTTTTTTATGGTTTTGAACGTAGGCTATTGGAAAAGGTTTTCCACTGAGTTACAAGCATGCAATTGTCACTGTTCTTCAATTTGTTAAATATTTTTTACAAAATTGCACCCACTGTTTGGGATTACTTTTACCAATGAACAAGCTGGAAAGTTTTGTTTTGTTTTTTTAACCCCCCCCCAAAAAAGTTACTTTTCCATTCTTTTTTTTGTTGAAGAGGCTGGTATGGACAAAGGAATGCTGGAGAAAATGTCTTGTGAGTCCTTTGGAGGATTTGGATTTTAAAGCCATAGTACGAATATTTGAAAGGATTAATTTTTTTTGCCAAGATACCACTGAAATATTTCTAAATACTTAGTGTAGGAGGAAGGGCATCTGTAGCCTTTTGGATCTTCAAAAAAACTACAACTCTCAGCAGCCCAGTCAACCTGGTTAATGCTGAGGAATGCTGGAGAGCCGTAGTTCCTTCCCCTCTGAGCTGGAAATCATGTGCCCTCTTTGTAAC